GCAAGATTGCAATGAGCACTGGCCTCATGTTCGCGTGCTTGAGGATAAATGCCGTCCTGCTGGTCGATGATCGCGGCACGCGAAATTTAACACCGTTAATGCAGGAAGCATCGGGAATGACACGCGGTGACATAAGCCGTTTCTACCTAGAAACTCGCTTTGTAGCTGTTTCTCTACGGCCATTATTCGAACAGTACGGCGATTGCCAAACGCGCGACGCCGTAATGAATATCTACGGTTAGCTCGGAAACGCTTTACATAAATTATTAGAAACTTTCCTCGCTCCTCTAACGCTTTGTTGCTACAAAATATGATTTGAAAGTTCTGAAACGTCCGAAATACCTAAAAATATCAATCCCTCGCGCGAGATGAGAAGAACGCGAGGGCGGCGCGCGAACGCGGGCGTGTTAAAAGCTCTCGGAGCTTGCGCGCCGTCATAAAATTCGTCCTCTCAAATTGTAAAAGGGTATGGTCGCTCTCCTACAACTAACGAGGCGGATGCATTCTAATCCCGAGTGTTCGGGAAGCCGCCTCTTCTCAAACCGATGCCACAATGCGCCGGCATTAAAAGCCTCGCCCCTCCTCCCTTACGCTTCGTCTCGCATTGTAATTACATTCTCCCGGAATTCGGTATGAACGGAAGAGGAGGCGGACTTGGTCGTCGCCGCCTCCAACGAACGAATCAATCCCGTTCTCGAAAAGGAAGAAAAGAAACCTCGAGAAATTACATATCCTCTTGATCCTTGAATTTTTCTGTTTTATTCGAATGAATTTTAGACTAGAAACGTGTTTAGAAAACTTTACTGTTTGTGGAAATTTACGGGTCTAAAGGAGTCTCAACGAGAAACGGAAATGCATATGTTACCACAGCGACGAGAGCATCGCCAAGCTTAGGGTTGAAAGCGCATCTGGCCGCGTGCTCGTGCGGTTGTCGCCCCGCCCCGTTCCGCCCCCTCTTCCCGTCTTCGTCGGCCTCATCATCGTTATCTACCAGCGCGATTATCAGAAGTATCGGCTACGGCCGTACCGGTTCCGCAGCGGCGATCCGAACGAGCCCGAGTTCTTGCTGGCAGAGGCGTGCGGGAGAAATGCACATTACACGCGAACGAGCGAGAGCGCAGATGAGAGAATCGAGAGAAAGCGTGCGCTCGCTCGCTCTCGAGCGGTCCAGCCTTCTCAAGGGCGAAACTAGCTAGTTGGTGGCCGAGGCGCAGCTCACACTGCCTCCGTCGTTGCTGTCGGGCGCGCGTCATATCTGTGTGCGGCCCCGTAGTCTGGCATTGGTCTGGTCATCGCACGCAACGCGTGCAAACCGAAGTCGGTAATGCTGAGTCAGTCAGGTGCATCATCGCGGCGCCTCACGCTTGGCTTGCACCATTTCGCGATAACAAAGATAGGAGATGGAATCTCTTGGAGTCTAGACACAGAGAGAGATAGAGAAAGAGAAAGAGATAAAAATATATGAAGAGAAAAAATATAAGGTGAACAGTGGGTCAAGAGATAAAAGGGAAGAATGATACGCTGAGAAAACAGCAGCTCAGAACAGAGAGAATTGTCCGTTTGTTCATTCATTCGTTTGCTCGTTCGTTCGTTCGTTCGTTCGTTTGTTCGTTCGTCGTCCACTCGTCGTTCTCCGGTGACGAGGGCACGGTCGATATGGCAACACCGCGCCCCACCATACGCATACCGGTGCCGGCATCACCGCCCGAGCGACATGCAGTAGCGGCAACACTGCATCCCGATGCCACCGCGGGGGAGGGGACCAGAACCTCACGCCGAACACAGCGAGGAAAGCGACCTCATGCCCTGCACACATGTGCGCACAACCGGGGACACTGAGGAGAATGAGGGAGACGCGGAGTGGCAGAGCGAAAAGAGAGGGACAGAGAGAAGGAGACGGAGCGGTTGCTCGGTCGGTTGCATTCGTCTGTCCCACGCACGCGCTTCGTGCCGAAATTGGCGATGCACTTGCCCTCGCGCTCGGGGATTCCTACCCTTCCTGCGGAAAAAAATAGTCCCGTCCACCTCCATCCGCGATGCGTCGCTTCAAGTGGACGGCGCTGACGGGCCATCTCTTCTCGCGGAGACTCCTGACGAGCCGCTTGGAATGAATATTTCCCCTGCTTTGAATTATTTCGGGCAGATGCTCGGACGTACTACGCGAGGAATTCGCGAAACAACCAGACATTTTTCATACATATGAATTAACGAATCCAAAAATTTGAACATCCAAAAATACACCAGGCACTTTTCCTCGGATATTAGTAGTTTTTCTTATATTTACTCTATTTAGTCAAACATTGTTTCCTAATAAAGAAGCCTGTTCATCCGAAGACAGTCTTCCTTTGTCCGATACTTTGGATCGTTTCGTTGCCTAATCTCAATCCTTCGGTCCCCGTAGTGTGTCCTCGCGTGGAGGGTCGCGTGATTCGTTGGCCTGGCAACCGTATTTCTTTTCGCTCGCCTGTTAATCGTAGGTAACGACACCTACTAACACCTTGACAAGCCGCGCGTGAGGCCGTGCGGTCGAGGTACCGAGCTCTGGAAGAGCGAGCATAGCG